GTGACAGCGCGTATTAATTCTGGCCAAAGGAATTCAGGTATAGCCTGATCCACCATGACGGTTCGCAGCTTATCAAGTATCACGCGGTTGGATCTTTCACTGCCCCCATTTTGATACGACGAGTACGGCGTTGTTACTTCAAGGTGAGTACCCAATTCTGTCATTAGGTTACTCAATTTAGAGCCTCCGAACTCCAATCCTCCGTCTAGAATAAACTTCTTAATTGTACGATCATATTGAGTTCTTGTTTCAACGGCGAAGTTCTTGACATTTTCGAAGGCTCCTCTCTTCTCTGGATGAGTTATAACCCATCTCATGTTGATGGCTAAATCAGTAAAAATGGTGGCATACTTTTGATTCATAATTCCTTCAGGAATCACTTCTATCACGTCAATACCCACTGCATCAAAGATTTTCTTAGGCTTGGCTCTAGCCTCTTTGCTGACACGACGAATTGGCTTACTAAATTCACATGCCTCGCACAACTCACCAGGACGGACGTTAGACTTGTCCATGCTGTCCGCGTACTTCATTCCATGGGTGAGCTGACTAGTCTTTCTGACATTTTCAATACTAATGTGTCCGAGGCGACGATGCATTAGCTTAATATCGGGTTTTATATCTGAAAGCCCCGCTGGGTACGCAACGTTTGCGTACTCGTCAACTGCTTCTTTTATAAGACAGCGTGCATCAGTATATAATAGAATGGACCCTTTTGACGTCTTCACATATCCATCATGGATTGTGCAGCCCGCTCTGAGTAATTTCTTTCCACTGACTAGATTAGTGGGAAAGCCTGGGACGTAAAGACATTTTTTCAATTCTATAACTTGATGTCTTCCTCCTTCCAATGCAACAATCAGTTGCACTGTTCCATGACCTTTAGGTGTGACGCTTCCTCCGCCACATTGTATTGGCCTCAAGCCAACCTCCTCCTCGTAGTGAGTGAATCTGTCCAGAGAGTTGGCTATATGCTCATCTGACCCCGTGTCGTTAAGCCAACGGTCGTTCCAGTGAGTTTTTCGTATTGCGTAGGTGGAGGGGCTCTGACCATCCGAGCAACTGCTAAGCGCGACGTGGCTAAAGGCGCTAAATGCGGGTATTCAAAAGTTTGAAGTCGGATTGTTATCTGTATCATCATCTTGGATTTCTTTAGACTTTCCTTTGCCTTTTGCGTCGCGTCTCTTAAGCTTGTCGGTATTTTTCTGGTTCAGATAATTTTGACGTGTAAGCCATTTTTTTCCCATTTTTAGCCTCCCAATCCTGACGAAGCAATTTATTGTGCTCATAGCACTTGCCATTCTTGCAATATAGGCAATTGAATTTATTGCCGCCTTCATTAGCCTTCCCTCTTCCCTTCGCCATCATAATAGTGCTAGAGGAGCATGTCTCGAAATTGCGTGCCTCATCTAGGAGATCAGCAATTAAATAGTCGAGTTTGGAAGCTACGGCGGTGTTTCGAGCCTTGGATCTCTGTCTCTCGGCCCAAACTGGAAACTTTCTAGCCACTCCGGCGATAAAGAACATTCCATTCCATCTCTCTGGTATAGAATCAGAGAGTGAGGAGATCTTTTCGACCCTTTTGGTGAACTCAGAAACATAGTGGTTGAGGTTGATGAAGTCTTCAAATCTTATATTCGACCAATCAATTATGGCTCGATACTCTAGATTCCAACCTTTTCCCTCAAACCGTTCTTGCAGACTTGTCCACATTTGGAGAGCTGAAGTCTTGCCATCAATCATGCCGTGAATATTTGGGGCTGAGTTGATCATAATGGCTAGTTTCATCCTAGCATCTCCAGCGAGCCACTGCTTTCTCATTTCAAATGCCTCCTTATTCAAAAATCTTTCTTTGATGGACACATGTGGGGGTTCTTCCACTTCATCACATATGTAGTCCTCCAAGTTGTTGGCTAGAGCAATGTTCTCCATATTGTTCTTCCATTGCTCGTAATTTTCCTCCCCCTTCAACTTGAAATAAGGAGGCAACTGGAGTGTACCGACATTTCCCATAGCATTTGAGGAGGCCTTGGGTTGACTCCACACAGGCTTATTGCTTGACGTAAGCATCTCCTCAATCTTTGGAGCCATCTTGGAACTTTCGAAATCTTGGACAGACATTGCACCTTTTCGTATAATTAATTTAGGTTGAGGTTAAGAAATCTTTTGACCTATTAGCTTTTGCTACCGGACTCAGAGCCGGTTTTTATTTATGCGACAGTGGAGTTAAGAGTATACTGCATACCAGCTATATATTCAGCTGCGTGTGGATACTTGCTCTCGAAATCAGATTCCTTATAATATAAATATATATATATAATTTATTGTGTGAATTATAACTACAACTATTGGTGCTACTTTTCTTGTTCTTACAATTATCTACACACTTCACAATTACGGAAAGTGTGGAATTCTAAGCGAGACACGTGATACAATAACAGATTTATCTCATGACTTTCAACAATTTCTATAAGCTTATTCTATATTCCCCGAATTCTGAGATTGACAGTGTTCTTCAAATCCGTGGTTTCTATTTAACACTCTCAGACGAGATTGAACCGGAGCGTTGGGGTATAAAAGCTGTGAGTTTGAGAATTGGTTTGGTGACTGATGATGGTATTTGGGAAGAAATCGAGGCGGAAGATAATACATCATCGGAATCGGCAAGGGCTGAGTTTCTGGTGTTGAATATTTAGTGGTGGGTAGATCATGAGTATTAAAAGTAGGGAATTGTTTATATTCATTCCTCTCACGAGATGTCCATTGATTAGTAGAACGTTTTGGCATTGGCACTGGGTCAATTTTGCGATGATGATCTTTGGCTATATGTCCAGTTTGACCACAGGCAAAACATAAGCCGTTTTCCATTCGAAATTTACGCTCAGCACTTGATATTGAAATGCCGCTGAGGTCCATTGAATCTTCAGATTTGGATGGTCCAGCATGAGGTAACAAATTGTCTATTGGGTGGTAATTTTTTTGCATTGAGTTAGATGAAGATTGTAACATGAGGATGTGCTCCTGTTGTTTGATATTGCGAGCAATATTATTGATTATATCAGTCCACCCAGTATAATTGTCTGAATCAGGAAGATTTACTTGGTTGTTAATAACGCCAGTAATTTTTCGATTAAGTCGTTTTCTAAGGAGGTCCACTTTAGTTCGGTCATCGTATTTTGCTCTTTCTATATAATGATCACAGTTGGCCTTAAAATCTCCATAAGCACATTTGTCTTGGTAAAGTGTGTCCAAGGCATTCTTTGTCATCTAGGTAGTATCAAGTAGAATGTATCTCCTATCAAGGACTTGCCATAAGTCTATTTGCGTTCTCCAATGCCACTTTTCTGAATCACTAGGGTATGAATTCATTTTCTGAGCACCGTCTTTAATAACATCCCATGCTTTCTCTGAGAGTTGGCTGGTTATATACAATATACAATTGAAATTTCCAGGAAAGCAACTACCATCCACAATTAACACTTGTTGGACCTATATTTTCCAACCGTCATATAGAGTTTATCGTTTTTCAGTACTTGTTTGTGCAGCAGAAAATTTTTCAGGATCGGGTCTATTCCGGCGCAATATTGAGTCTGTAGAATCAATGTTCGAGGGTTTCATGCTGAGAATGGCATCAAACAGTAGTTTATTTATTTCAGACTGTATGCTTGAAATTTCATCATTAAAATTTGACATCTTGAAGTTGTCTAAAGAGCGTGCTAAATTTAAATTAGATATGGTTGAATTTAAGGAGATAATTTCAGTCATATGTGTATTTTTGATTTCACCAATTTTTGAATCAAAACATTGAAGCAAACTACAAAATAAAATAGTTTCGGATGTGTTAGTGGTTGAATCAATTGAGCTTAGCAAGGAAGCTGGATTCGAACCATTTGGGAACTGATGCCCTTCAATTGCTGCGCTCAAGCTCAGCCAGCTCTTCTGAAAAGCAATGATAATTTCAGTGGCTCTGGGGTCGGATTCCATGTTTGTAAAAATTACAATTTGTTTTTAATTTATTGAGAAACTCTATGGGGCGGTAGCTGGGATTTACTTCAGGTTTTGTGTCAGGCCGCAGGCAGGAGTTAGAATAAGGTAGTTAATTTTTCTATTATGTCGGGATCCAAATGCAACGGGACACAATTGAGATTGCACAAAATGTCACAGTGGCTCACGGGTCAGGTACTAAAGGAAAGAGAATGTAACTGTGTTGTGCAATAGCAAGAGAAGAGAAGTCTAAATACAAGAGATTGTTGAAATTATGGAGTTCAGAGATGATTCAGGTGATGCTTAATGGAAGTAATTGATGAAGGGTTTGGTTGTTGAGTTTTCTATGATTTCTGTGATTTCTGTGTTGGGATACACTATGTCAATCCTACTAGGCTCGATAATTAGTAGTCCTGACCGACTGGTGTTTGGCGAACGGAGATTGCGTATACCCTGTGCTAGCATTGTTTACTGCTGTTAATAGGAGATCCCGCACGGGCTATCTATTGGGGTTAAAAGGAGTCTGGTACCTGTGTTTAATAGAGTAGTCGAATTGACATCCTTTTATCCTTCATTATTGCATAAGCTTCCCTTTACCAATAAAGTCCACGAACTAAGTAGTGGGTTATACATTTCAATGGAGATATCTATACATATGTTCTAGCCTGTGACGCTAGCCCTTAGTCCCGTGACAGATGCTCAGGATGATCAAAGCTCCAAATTTAGACATTTTGATCTTCTACACCTGTTATTTTGGGAATCGAGGCAAAGATATTCTCTCCTAGAAATAGTTTGAGTTGGATATATAGCATCAAGATCGGAAAGGAGTAGAGGAATCATCCTTATACTTTTAGATTTTTCAATTGAACCAAAGGCCTTCTAGTTAGAAATCCAGTACGGGCTTTAATTCAATTCACGGGACGCTTAGTGTCTAAGACATCATCAATCCAAGTACCTAACAGAATTATTAGTCATATCTTCACATGACAAGAGTGTGTGGGTTGGGGCACAATTACTTACACGAATTGACAATGTTCAACGATGTCGGGGCCATTTCCATGATGAGTGCGGCTGACTGCGCCCACTATTCGAGCTTGTGTGTTGAATATAACAAAATCATGCGGACCTGGGCCCTCTTGAAATTTGTAGTCATCGGTTAGTATTAGAGTACTTGGAAAGCAACTAAATATCATGGATTTTGTTATTACCTTCCATAGGATAATACCATAGTTCTCCGGGAATGCTGTAGTGTAAAGAAGTGAACACAAAAGGATATAGATCATCTGTTCTATCGGTCTGCATAACTGCCCTGGCCGACAGAACAATATCCATGAGTTGAGCTTTTGAGTATATGGGACCATTTGGGCAGTGGAATCTGAATTCTCGGTTCGGGTCAGGCACTGGTAATAGAACTGGTAATAGAGCTCGCACTGGCGGTATTACAAAAGCTTTCACTGGCGCTAAGATGCAGAAGAGTGTGGAGGCGCCGCTGATGATGGAAAACTTCATTGTAGTGTGTTCAGTAGTTGTATTTCTTCCAATCTAAGGGCTATGAAAAGCTGAAAAGCTGAAATTTGAAGATTGATAAAAATGAAGTACAGAATCTAAAAGGCTTGTCGGTGATTTTAGGATGCAATTAATATACACTCTTTTCTACCCAAAGTGTGGCTTGGCAAGTTCAATCAAGCATGTGTGAACCATTGGAGTTATGAGGCATTTGCAATGTTAGTTTAACCCATGTTAATTACTTCTTATTCCACCTTTGTGGGAACTGAAATTGCAAAGTCCCACTCGCCTTCTGTGGTGAATAATTGTCCCGAGAATAGGCCGTACGGCTAATCATGGAGATGCAGGGGAATAGGATTGGTCTCCTTATTGGCATTTACATGCCTGATACATTTTAAGATGGGATTCGAAAATTTGGAAGCAGGATGCACTCCAACACCCTGACCTCCAATCCACCAGTATGAATGATGACCTTTAAAATTAGTGTATAGATCTGCTCTTATTATGAGTGACAATTCCCTAGCTCAAATATCAGAAGAGTTTTAGATCACTTGTAGAATAGAATTAAATTCAAGTCCCTACTGAGTCTATGACTATGGAGCAACCAATAATTATTCACATCACATCACCCACAACCCCTCGTAAAAGAGCTACCAATCGGTGCAATGGCCCCTGCTGTTCCATCGTCATCGTCTTTTTTTTAATTTTTTTTTATTCATAGTGTATTCAGCCATCTAGCTATGACACATTATATACATAATTTAATTCCCCAAAACTCCTTTCTGTTTCCTAAAAAGGCACATTATTAGATCTTATCGTCATCGTCAACGCCCTCCAATCCAGGAGGAAACTTCATCCAAGCCTGCTTGGCATTGTGAATGCAATGCAAAAAGCGGAACAGTAAAGAAAAGAAAGATTGGACGTAGTCCAGGAATTTCTTGAACTAACCGACTTCTGGGCCAAGAGAAAAGGAGAGAAGCAAGCAGCAGCAGTCGTCGCGACGCTGATGGAAAAGATCACGCCTGTAATAACTGCCTTTGCAGTAGATCAGGCAGAAGTAGCCAACTTACCAAGTAATAAACCTTCAACTAAGGCAAGCACTCCCAAACCAGTCGCTCCCAGGAAAAATACAGCTGTTGAGGATCACAGCCACGCCCTTTCCTCAAAGCCTCAAGACACCAGCTCGCCCTGGGTAACAGTAGCCCACAAAGCGGCCAAACTACCGACGCCGCCCAGCGTGCAAGTTCCGCGAAGGCCTGCTCCAGTAAGCAACCCGAAACCTCAGCCAACCTCAAATGAGGAGAAGTGCTTGTTCTTACGATTGAGGAAAGATCACCACTGGCACAAGTTATCACCAGTCACGATAGAGAAAATTATCACCGAAAAAGCTGGGATAGCAACTATTGTAATTTGTTTGCTAGACCTGGCGGTGTAGCTTATCACAGTTAGAGAATGTATTCTGGAATGCAGTGGTGGCTCGTTATAGATGCGATTGTGACAATACAATTGAGGGTTGTATGAAAGTTTGGCACTTCTATGGGTCTCAATTATTATTATTTTTATTAATTCGTTTTATTGTCCTGTCTGAGTCTATGACTATGTAGGAAATGCAGGTCCTCTCTGCCTACAGGCCAAGGATACCTATACCAGTAGTATATCCCCTCCTATGCCTCCCATACAGCTCCCCCCAAACAGTACCACCCCTCATAAGTCCTCATTCGATCATACACTTAGAGGAGCCCTTTGCCCTTCATTATCTCCCCCCTCCAGCCAACGAAACAATGGCCATTTGCGGGTGTATGGCAGCCGGGAAAAATCGCAAAAACCACTGGGTGCGGAGCTCTCCTAATACCGACATTAGGACTAAATCCGAAGACATAGTGACCCTTCCGAAGCGTTCGAAGAGGCCGGCCAGCTGGGCGCTGCAGACTTGTGGGTACCTCGGGAAATTCACCCTCTGCCTTTCTAGCCTCCTTCCAACTCCTTCCCGAAGGTCGTGCTGAAATGTCAGAAAAGTCTTGACCGAGCGTGATTGCTGTATAGTAGCTTAGTCCGACTTCTTTTGTGCCGTCCAGGGCGCTGGGGAGTGCCGTTGACTCATCGACAAAAGAAGTCCTCCTGGCTAATTAGCCAAAATCTTAGTCTTGGCGCCCACACAAAATCCAAAGTTGAAAACTCCTCAAAAATGTCAGTCCCAGCATGGTCTTCAGAGACCTCTTTACCCTCTCACTCCACTTCTCAGCCGCCTGTCATTCCTCAAGATGTACAACCCCATTAGAGCATCAGTCCCCCATAAACCAAGACCCCAACTTTGCATTTTTCGACTTGATTTCCTCCTTGCGGGTATAAATAGCGTCGTAAATATATAGTGAGTGATGGCTGGCGATGAATGGGGCAAGCTCCTGTATACAATTGGAGCAACTTCTTTATTGGTCGTTGAGGCGAGATGATGCGTGGTTAGAGATGGGTTGAGGACTCAGATGATAATGATGAGAGAGGCATTGTCGAGAAGTTGTCAAATGGAGATGTGTTTGAGGTTGCATTCGACTTCGATTCGGATGCGATTCTTCTTGGCTATCCCAGATATGCAGAGCTTAATTGGCGATTACACCGGCACCACTGGAAGGTGAAGAATACGTCTTTGCCGGCTATGGGTCTCAATTGTGTGGAGGTTGATTCAATCATTGATGATTATTACTTGTTATGTCTATCTACAGAGAATTTGTTACAGTTCTACGTGTGCCCCTAATCACTTAGATTTGGCTAGTGGGCTGTCCCCTCTTTTACTTCGCTCCCGTGTTCCATCAAGTGAGATGTAATAACTGCTCACCACAAAGTCCGCAGATTGAACAGCGTTAGATCACAACAGCAACTTCTGCTATGACGTCCATGTACCATTGTACATCAGGACGCTTGAAGACGGTATCCCAATCACCAACAACATGGTGAAGAACGAGTGCCAAGCAGTATGCGGCGCCACACCAATCTAGGTAAGGCCCACAGAAACAAAACTTGGCCAATACTCAACGAGCTGGATTGTTCATTTTCAACAAAAACCAGCGAACACAAAATTTCGTCTCTTTGACGAGAGCGGACCAGCCATTCCCTTCTCGCGCCGAAGACCAATCGAGCAATGCCAACGTACCTGTACCAGGAGCCAGCGATGTGGACGATGCGGAAAAACCCACGAGACGTCAGAGTGCCAGGCCAAGGTGCTAAAGTGCTCGAATTGCGCGGGGCCTCACCACTCAAATGAGGGTAGCTGTATGGCCAGGCCAAGACGACAAAACGGGATATTTCTGCCCCGCACCCCGGCAGAACTTCACATCATCAGAGAACGCGGACATCGTGATTATCACACTGCTCTAGCGTACTCAGAAAGGAAGAGCAAAGCGGCTGAAACCGTCGTTGTCCATGATTCAACAATGTCATGTTAATGTCAGGAAACCCCTCAACAAAAGCACCAAAAGACAAATACAACACCCTCCACTTTCACCAAGTGAATGTCGGAAGGGTTGGGTAAATTACGGACATAGCATTGCAGCTGTCACGGGACTAAGTCCTAGGAATGGCTTAGCGAACTTGGGACTTAGAGACTTCCATGTACATAGTTAGATTTACTCTCCTTATCGCACAACACAGTTATTGATCCCGACCCATCCAGATCCTGATACTCCCTTTATACATTCCGTGACATTTTGTGCGATCTTTAACATACGTGCCTTACCGCGCCCTGCTTCTCTGCTTCCCTGATCCAGTTACCTGTAACCAGAAAAAAATTGTATCCTGTAAGAAGATCCTCCTCGAACGCGACAAGGCAATCCTATATTCTTAAAATCAATTTATCCAGTTTTTGTAAAAATGGCCAGCAACCAGGACGCGTCTACTCTGAACCAACCTTTAGATTCCTTTCTTGATAGTTGGCCGAATCTTGCCAGCGCCATTGGAGACCACACATTCCTGCCAGACTCAAATCCGACTCCTCTCTTGACAACCATAGCCTCAACTTCTGATTCACCTGAAAAAATAATGTTCTGCAGTTTGTTAAAATGTTTTGATCTTAAGTTTGGCGTACTTAACAGACAGATTTCCCACCAGTCAGCAACAATATCTGAATTTGAGTCCAATTTCAAAGGCATGAAAGGACACATCAGTGAGCTAAGCGAAAGACTTACTCTCGCTCATCAGGATACTCTAAAGGCACGAGAAACAATAGAAACGAAGAACCAGCAAGTAGAAAGCCGTCTGAACGATATCAATACATTAAATATGAGAATAAGCAAATTGAATTCTCAGGTATCATCGGGGAATGAAGAAATTCATAGGTTACGAACCCAAATTCAAAACAATATTGCTAACTCCAACATTGTTTCTAACGAACAGGCCATCCATCCAATACCTCGCCGTACTACAGTAGACCATGATAAGTTCACTGGAAATCAGGTTAATATGGAGAAGAGGCAATTAGTCTATGAGCGATGGAAGACACAAGTTCAACAGAATATCCTTGTGGATAAGGCTTGCTTCTCTGGTGAATTTGAAAAAGTGTTGTATATAACTGGACAACTCACAGACAAGGCATGGGACTCTGTGCAAGATGGTGTCCAGATGATGGATAAGAATCCTGAGAATCCTCAGAAATGGGTATGGAAAACATCTGAAGAATTGTTGACAGTCTTGGACGGGCGATATATGCTACTAGATATCACCCAGACAGCAAAAAATAAATTGGATACACTATACCAGGAAAAGTGCGCCTTCGGAGACTTCAAAGTAGACTTTGACCATTTTGTGGAGAAGGCTAAATATGATGACAGGACAAAAGTCGATTTGCTGAGGAAGCAATTGAATAAAAAGATCACCAGTGTAATAGAAAATCAAGTAAATTTACCCGAAGATGACGACTTTAATGGTTGGAGCCAGATGATAAATAGGATTGCTCGAAACTTGGGACAACAGGAGCACATTGCTAAAATTCAACAGGCTCCAAATAATTCTTCTCA